CGGCTGACTGTAGCTTGAATTTTAAATTATTGATTGATTGACGGCCAGTATGCGTTTGACTCGTGCAGGCCGATCGATAGCCTGCTGTGAGCGCGGCTGCTTGCTGCATGCTATCTGCCTGTTAGGCGCTTCCTTAGAGATTGGACAAAGATTCCTTATATGCAACAGCTCAGTAACAAGAAACCCCAGGTTTCTGTCTTTCGGGCCGTTGGTAATAGGGGTTTAATAGGTGGGGCGTATCAGGCGAAATAAAAAGTGATTAAAGTAGTTGAGCGAATAAAAGTAGAAAATAATAGCAAGAATTATTTAAAGAAACTAATGTTTAGCAACAAAAAGCGCGCGACAATTAACATGAGAAATACAACCAATGCAACCGATTTTCGAGATTAAACTGAAGCCTTGGAAGACAGGCTTCTCCCGAATTTTAAGCCGAAAACCAACGGCATGTCGCTAATGTAACTAAGATAAATTAACTAATCTAAAATAAACTCAATTAAACTACACTACTTAAACTAAAAAGTAATCTAAAATGAATTAAAACTAAAAAAATGAATAACTAACTAGAAACTGAACTGAAAAGCGAAGTAAATTTACTGAAGTAAGGTAAACTAAAGCAACCGATAAAGCAAAACAAATAGAACTAAGTAGTAAAATAAAGTAAAACTCAACCCAAAGGAAGGTAAAGTAAAGTGATTTAACTTAACAATAAACACAAATTAGTAAAAGTAACAGTACGTAAGAAAAGCCGTGTAAAAATAATGTATAAAAGCATTTCAATCCACGATTATAAGAATGAAGCAGAGCGTGCTTACTGTAATGAGGAAAGTAGGAAGTCCTGTATAGTAAACTACAAACTTTTCCATATAAGGAATATTTACCCCCTGATTTGCAGCAGCTAGTTTGACAAACAAATTTCTTCTCATCGATTATATATTAGGAGTAGGAACTTTAATCGGCACCACGTAGACTATATCTAAACGGCAACAGGGTAGCCCGCTTCTTTCTTCACTTACACATCCTGTCTTTGCTGCAGATTCTGGAAGTCGGTGAGGAAATTGTGGAACTGGAGGTCAGCGGTTTCAACACCACCGAAACCACCGTAATAGCCGCCAATCTCGGCCAAATCCATTCTCAACGCTCGAAATCTCGGCCACTGGGGTCCATGGACGCCTCACCAAGCGTCGAGAATGCGCCCGGCGAGCCAACTAGCCTGCGTGTAGGCAAGGACTATCCATATATTTTGCAGGTAAACACCCATACTTTAGTTTCTGGTCCTTATCCCCACCTCACATTTTTTACTCAACTCTTCTATCCTCTTTTCATTACCGTCCTCTTTTGGCGCTACAAGCAATTATGGAGAACATTTAATGGCAACGATGGGTTATGTGGCTGCTCTAAAAAAGGGAACCAAGGACTCCTGTAATATGGAAATAGCTATAATAGGGGTTTTGTGGGTGTTATAATTATAATTGACAAGTATCTGTTTTCAGGAAGCAATAGATAAAATTACCGAAGGCATTGGTTAGATATTCCAGGCCAACTGATCCTAGCACACTATGAGCAATCAAAGGCATTGCCTATTACCCTCACCAAATAAACTGAAATCACGAAGAAAGTGTAAAGAATATGTAGTTGAATCCGACTGTTGGGGGCTCTCCTACTGGAGGAACGTACACACTTTTCCCTATTTCAAGGTGCCGGTTCATCTTAAAGTAGGTGCCGAATATCATGAATAGCTAATATAACATAGATTGCCGATGGATACGAATGGGCGAGTTCCAGGAAGCAGTTAAGAAGTAGAAGATGCGATCACTGGAGAGCCGGAGAGCGAATGTTTACCCGCGCAATCTTGTCAACCAGTGCCTACGCAGACGAGACAAGAAACCAAATCCAACCGCCCTAAAAGTTTGGCGAGCTGTACCGTAAGTGAAGAATGTATCGGAAGCAGTTAGCCGCCTCCTTACTCCACTTGCAGTTGAAGTTGCGCATAGGCCAGAAGCACACATCAGGCGCCGGATCATGAGATCGAAAGACCCACTCCCATGGCAAGACACGGTTAGAGTCGTTTACCGGACCTGGTGCAGTTGTGGAAAAAGCAGGTACGTCGGAGAAACCGGGAGATTACTCTGGATGCGAATGGCTGAGCACGCAGCAGCGTTTAGGAGGAAAGACGCTAACTCCTAGGTTGCACCTAATAGACGGGACCCGGCCATATTTTTAAGTTTAACGGGACCGAAATTCAAGCAAGACGTGACAGTCGCGTCAGCTGCGAGTTACTCGAGTCATAGTTCTCAAGCCCACAGTCAATCAAAGATCCAACGATTTGCCGTTCCCATACTCTTTACTGAGACATGGTCTGAGCAGGGGAACCAGTCATGTGGGAAAGGCCGGGCCCAGCAACAACTCCGACGACAGCGAACATAATAGTCGCTTAATTATCAAGTCCGCATCCAACACGGGTGACGAAATCGCGGCAATCAATGACTCGGAAGCGGTCTGCCAAGCCATCACCGCACCAATTATGACCCCCAGTGGTGGTTATGGGAGCTGATACTTATAGTGCTCATGCGGTCACGTGGCCACTACGAACTATCTTGCGTTATCGGTGCATGTATCGCCCTAATATGTGCATATATGACCCTATTCTACGGTTACCTTCGATGAAGGGTTCTCGACAGAATCCGAACAGTCGGGCAAATAAAATTCTTATTCCAGCGACCGCATCTTCTACGTCTGAACTGCCTCCTGGAACTGGCCTATTCGCCTAATTTCAAAAGGTTTCAGTGACGTCAGGATTCCGGATTTTGAACGAGTTTTTTTTCTGGCAGTCTGCATAAAGTATATTCTAAAAAAAACAGCTACTCAAGTAATAAGCATTTTTCGTCATTGATCTTCGCGGAATTTATAAATTAAAACATATTTCATAGAAAATGCGCACAAAAATGTTTTTTTCTTTTACTTATTTGGTACTAAATTAGGCCTTCTTTAAAATTGGAGCTCGAAGAATGGATATGTTTCACTTTTAAAAATGTTTCTAATTGTGAGAATTTTTATGGCTGTGAAATGTTCATTCAGAATACATCATATCCGTCAATTTATTAATGTTGCCTTTAAAGTATACAACATGATCCACACCCACTACAGATTTTTATGATATCAATGTGGGCTCTTTCTCATATCGTAGCGGGATATGCAATTTTCCTTAAGGGGAATGTATGCAATATGTCGTATGGCAACCTAGAATTCAGGTGTAACGGCTGGCGGGGTTCAACATTATTCGGCGATTTACCTTTTTTCAAACCAAAGGGTGTCCGTTCTTCAAGCGTGAATTAAAAAGAAGCTTAATTTTCTATCAAACGAGTACAAGAACTTTTTTCCATATCTTCAATGACCTATATTTGAATTTATAAGAACATTGAAAAGCAATGAGAAAAATGCATACTACTTAAGTAGCCATTTTTACGGAATTCACTATCTGTAGTCGGTCGGAAACACCTAGCACCTAGTCTCACCTTTGAAACAAACTGCTGGTTACAGACCTTTATTCCAGGTTTACAAATGGTATTGTCAAAATTAATCCTAAGGATCTCTTTGCTTCGCGCACTGCTACCAAACAAATACAATAAAACATATATTTTAATATTTTAAAAAATCTATTTAAATTTTCGAAGCCAGTATCTTGGATTTAGTGAAATGTCTTGTGTTTCTGGTGCATGGCAATCACTATACGAAGCAATGTGAGCCTTTCTGACTGAAATCGTATTGGAAATTCCATTTTAAGTATTGTACAGACGTGTCACTTACTGCAATTACAAGCCTACTGTTTTGTCCCCCACCTATTCAGCCTACTTACCTTTTGATTGGTCGAAGCCTCATGTTTTACCACCTGTGATCGGGCCGTAGAACCTGTATTTGCACGTTCTTTTCTGACACAGTTTCTCCCCTTCCCCTCCGTGTAGGTCTCACCCACTTCCCTACGTTTGCTCGAT